CTGGAGTGCAATGGCGCGATCTCGGCTCACCGCAACCTCCGCCTCCCGGGTTCAGGCAATTCTCCTGCCTCAGCCTCCTGAGTCGCTGGGATTACAGGCACGCGCCACCATGCCCAGCTAATTTTTTGTATTTTTAGTAGAGACGGGGTTTCACCATGTTGACCAGGATGGTCTCGATCTCTTGACCTCGTGATCCACCCGCCTCGGCCTCCCACAGTGCTGGGATTATAGGCTTGAGCCACCGAGCCCGGCTATTTTTATTCTTTTTTAAGATGGGGTTTCACCATGTTGGTCAGGCTGGTTTTGAACTCCCAACCACAGGTGATCCGCCCGACTTGGCCTCCAAAGTGCTTGGATTACAGGTGTGAGCCACCACGCCCAGCCCCTACAATTTTCTCTAAATGGTCTCCCTCTTCCATTCCTAACTCACGATTGTCTATTGTCCAAGCACAAGCCAGAAGGACGTATTTAAATCCCCAGTCCAGCCAGGTCACTTCCCTTTCCAAACTCTCCAGTGCTTTCTGCTCCGTGAGTAAAGCCTTAGCTCTTACAGTGGCTTCCATGATCCTACATGGCTTTGTTTGACCCAACGCTCAATTTTTGTTCTCCTAGAACTTTACACCCATCTTACCACTCTGGCCACAATGGCAATATAATGTTTTCATTATATCTTGAATAGAGGCTGGGTAAAATGAGGCTGAGACCTGCTGGGCTGCATTCCCAGGTTAGGCATTCCTTGTCACCAGATGTTTTCAGTTAAGGGAACAGGTTAATAATGTTTTTCAAACAGACTCAGGATTTAACAGACCCAGATATCCTGATGTCTCAATATCTTAAGACCGAAAAAGCATTCTTAGTTTAAGTTTCACTTTAATAATAATAATAGAGATTGTTGTGGAAGACAGTAGTTACACAAAGATTAACAATCCTTTGTCAGGAGCCCTTGTAGTAGAGCACACCTCCCTTATGATTTTTTGCTTTGTTGCCTTATATATAAACAAGCACTGCACCTAAGATGGGCATGTTCCTCCTCTTACTTTTGGGAATTCCCTGCTCTGTTTATGAAGTAGCCATTCTTTTATTCCTTTACTTGCTCAATAAACTTACTTTCACTTTACACTGGGGACTTGCTCTGAATTCCTTTTTTTTTTTTTGAGACAGAGTTTCGCTGTCGTTACCCAGGCTGGAGTGCAATGGCACGATCTCAGCTAACCACAACCTCCACCTCCTGGGTTCAAGCAATTCTCCTGCCTCAGCCTCCCGAGTAG